GAGAGAGAGAGAGATGGTGCGATTGAGATGACAATGTCATATTGACGGTGGCGGCGGTGGCGGGCGACAGCTGCGTCAGCGTGGTCGGGGTTGCGTAAGGGTGGTCGGCGAAGGTCGGGGACGAGGTGGCTGCGACTGTTGCGGCGTGTACTGGACTGGCAGGGCACGCGTCGGCGTCGGGGCTGGTGGGCGGTGAGTTTGGTGGTCGGCGGTCGCATGCATGTGTGTTACATGTATGGGTGTGTGATTTGTGTGTGAGAGATAATGTGTGGGTTTGTGTTGTGGTGGGGGGCGCTGATTGGGTGGTGTGAGTAAAATTACATATTCACCCTAAGGTAACTACATTTGACCAAATTATTTTCAATTATTTACAAATATATCACCGTATGTTTGACTATTTTCAATCAATTTTGACTTCATCATGGCCATTGATGTGGTGGATTCAACGGTTTAGATTTATTCTTATTTCTTTCATTATGAGTCATTCTCATATGCTCCCAACTCAAACATATTGGCATATTATATTAAAGATAAGAAGATTTTTTGTTTGCTCAAGTTAAGAAGAAAATTGATAAAATCAAATTCACAATTACCAAATTTGATAAAAAAAAAATAAAGTTATATTTATTTATCATGTCCAAACCTAATTCTAAAACCATAGTTCTATACCTAAATCAAATTAAGAAGCGTAGATGTTCGTAATGTGCATTCGAACAATACAAGTCATTTAGACTAATACATTTTTAGTTAATATATGAGGAGAGGAGAATTTCTCGTTAGTAAAAACAACCTTAGTCGAAAATACCTTAAAATTAAAATTTAATAAATAAGTTCACATGGTAAATAATACATTTATAGGTTTTTCAGGGTAATAAACAGCTAACCGAAATAGTTAAACAATCATGGTAATTATGGTAAAATCATTTTATGGCCATTCTGTTAATTGGTCAAGTAGGTGAGTTGCCAAAATAACTTTTTACTTTGACCGACATAATTTAACTGGGCCAGGTATCCTGGGCCTCATGTGACCGGCCACACATACTTCGAGACATTAAAGGAGAAAATGAGCAAAATAATAAATGGAAATAGAAAAGGAAATTAGTTAATTACTGACTCATTACCCATTCACTGAACCAAAATGAGTTTGCCACGTGTCAAATCCAGGATTACGCGGCGACCTGCGCATCGTTGCCGGAGTCTTTCTGGCCTCCCACTTGACCCAAGTTTGGTTCCTTTTGTTATTTACCTTTCAAAATTTCAAAATTCACCGAACCAAGTGCATAATTATTAGGCAAACGCTGTTAAATCAACATATAATAGTTTTACCCAAAAAGCACATTATTTTATTTATATATTTGATTTGATGAATTCAACTTTACATTTTAAATAATATTACAACATTCCAACAAAGTCCACACACCAAAAGGATGGGATATAACTAAAATAAAGATTAAACCCTTAAACATTACATTCCAATGAAAATTAAAAATAGAAGGAAAAATAACTCCATCAAAATGTATATTCGTGTCAAATTAGGAAAATGAAAACGAAAACAACAAATAAATAACTACTCTCTATATTTTCTCCATATGGAGAAAGAAAATCTTTTCTTCAAATGTAAATGAATGGTTCCAATATTCCCATTCTTTTAACACTGTTCACTGAACTTTTATACTAACCAAATGGAAAGTCGTTTTATTATTATAATTTTCGAAGAGGAAAGGTTTAGTAAAATAACAAAATTAGCCAACCAATTTAGGCGATTCTATAAGACAGCAATTTCAGTGTTGTTTCCACACTATCTCTACATCTCTATTTCTCTAAAAAAAAACCATTTGAAGGCGAAATTAAGGAAAAAAAAGTCAAAAAAGAAAAAAAAAAAGAAGCCAACTAGGATTCTTGAAACACAGCTCTGAAGAATACAGATTTTCTACATTTTAACTTCTTCTTTCCTACTTACATATCCTTTCCAACTTTATAGACCAAACAAAACTAAAAATCCCACCTTTTTAGTCCCATGCGCTCTCTCTCTCTCTCTTCTCCTTCAAAATCTCATCTTTTGAGGTTTCTTGCTCTTCTTTTTCTTCCTCCCTTTCACATTTTTGTTTCCCTCTGTATTAATTCTTAAGCATCGCAGTTTTAACTCACTTCTTTTGAATCTGAGCCTTCAAAGTGATTTCCTCTTTCCTTTTTTTGTTTAATTTTTTTCGTTCCGTATTCCATTTCCAAATAAAAATCGAAATTTGCAGGCTTTGTGTATTGACAGCGATGGACAGCGCCCTCGTCAAGCAATCATCGGTGCACAAGAAAATCACCAAAAAGATCTTTAAACCCTCCAAACAGAGCATCCACAAGAAACCCAAACCCCAACAACCAAGAGAATTTCTATTTCCCAAAGACCCCCCAAAAGTCATCCTTATTTCCGTCACGGACCCATACGCCACCGATTCCTCCGACGAAGATGAAGACGGTGGCCGCCGCCGACAGCGCGTCAAGAAATACATCACCGAAATCAGAATGGAGCAGGGGAACTCCTCCAACGGCCGGAAACGGACCGCCGACGGCCTCCAGCCCAAGCCCGCGGAGGCTCCTCCCGACGCGGCGGACGGCGGCTCTAGGAAGTTCCGAGGCGTGCGGCGGAGGGCGTGGGGCAAGTGGGCGGCGGAGATCAGAGACCCCCACAAGAAGGCGAGGCTCTGGTTGGGCACCTACGACACGGCCGAGGAGGCCGCCATGGTCTACGACAGCGCCGCCATAAAGCTACGCGGCCCGGACGCCGTCACCAACTTCTCCGTCCCGCCGGAGAGGGATCTGCTACAGCCGCCGCCGTCGTATTCCGGCGCCGGCTACGACTCCGGCGAGGAGTCCCGCAGCTTGCACTCGCCGACCTCCGTCTTCCGGTTCAGGAGCGCGGATCCGCAGCCGAGCCGGTCCGTCTCGGTCCAGGATTTGGGAAATGTGCCGCCCGAACCGTGTGTCTCTGTGGAGGGTCCGGTTATCCATGAGGTGAACCGGGCCGTTTGTTTTTCTGAACCGGTTCTTGAGCCGGTTCAACAGGCGGACGAGTATCAGGGGGAAACAAGTGTTGTGCCTGATTATTCTAACGGCTACTTGCCTACGGACTCGCCGTTCTTGGATTCTTTCTTCAATTTTCAGCCGCAGGATCAAACGTTGTTGTTCGATGATGGGTTGGGCCTTACCAATTTTGACAAATCCGATTGTTTCACAGAATGGGCCGATAGCTTTCCGGATTTTGAATCCAATTATGGGGAGATTAAGGATTCGTTTCAAGATCACGAGTTGCTTGATGTTGGCGACTACTTTCAAGACGATGTTGCTTGATGATGCGTTTGAAATTGTTGATCGATTATGGGGCAGATTTTGTCAACCAGTTCTCCATTTGCTTT